AAGGACCGAGAGCAAGCCTGGCAGCCAAGGCTGGCTGGGGATGGGGCACAGCAAGGGCCTGTCAGTCTGACTGCAGCTTCTCCTCCCTAAGAGACCGGCCGTCCCCTGGCCACGGCCCCAGCCGGGCCCGGGTCTTGGGATTTTTCTGGGTATCACAGAGTCACAGAATCATTCAGGTTGGAAAAGCCCCTCGGCATCATCGAGTCCAACCCTCAGCCCGACTCTACAGGTTCTCCCCTACCCCACATCCCCCCACAGCTCATGCAAACAACCCTTAGTGTTCCGGGCACAAAGCAGCTTGTGGAAAGAGTTCAACAGGCATGCAGCGGTTAGGTGGATTCTGAGAGTAGCTTGGATATGTGTGACAGCTACATTTTCTTTAACTTAAAGTATCTCTCTTTACCCATGATGGAATTACTCACTGAGCAGTGCTTAGTCCTGTCTGTTCTTGAGCATGTAGGATTCCTTTTGGGTAAAGATACAATAAATACTAGCATCATTCTCTGTGACGGCCAGGTATAGTTCGGTGGAAAAAACCCAAGTGTAACACAAGTTATGTTTTTGTAAGAGATACCTGACATCTTTAGGTTAAACTGTGTCTTCTTAAGGAAACCATCAGGATACTTCTGTTTCTAGAGGACAATATATATATCATCTAACGTTATCAGCAATCGCCTTTATTTGCACTGTACCCACAAAATATAATGTTAAAACTCAGCCAAGCTTTTAATAAAATGTACTCTGCACTGAAATTCAGCTAGTGTGCATATACAGTGTCTGCATGCTAAAAAATTGATTGGGGCAATCTATAAATGTGCTGCACATTTAACAGAAGTTTTGCAGATATAACCAGATTTCATTTTCCTTTCAGAACAACTGCCATAATTTTTCATCTTGTGAAATTTAAGAAATAAGGATGGGTTTATGCATTTAGCATTTATTTGCTGTTAACGATTAAAACCCTGTAAATTTCCCTACCGTATTTGCTATAAAACTTAAAAATATGGAAGATGGTGAAAATTTCAATTGGTGTCTGCCTAGAAAACCTTGGGCCTTTGAAAGCATGCACTGTACCTATTGCTTTCCTGATAGCAAAATCTTCTGTCTTTATATGCTTGTAATTAAGGAAAAGGTTGAGAAAACTTGCTGTTCTTTGACAAAGTCTAAAAAGGAGATTTTTATTTTTTAGGAAAAAAGTCCTTATTTCCTGGATTAAGAAGGAACAGAAAAGGCTCTGTTTGTGTGTTTGTAAATATAGTGCATTACAACATGCTCTTCACTAATTAACCAGGTGGAAGTCATGGGAAGAGAATGAAATACACATGGATTTTCTTAGAAAAAATACATTTGATCTAAACCGGATTGAAGCATCAAGAGACACATTAGTAGCAGTTACAAATTGACAGTTTTATCATTCTGCCTTTCTGAAGCCCATGAGGTTTCAGTTTGAAAGTCTTAAATTAATTAAACAGGTTATTTTGCGCTAGATGTTACTCTTGCATGCTTTCAGAAACAGTTTTATTTCAGATTTCTGCAGTAAAGAAGAAAAGTGAACTGGGAACTGAGGTTCCCAGTTCATACCTGGGTGCTGAATTTCAGCATGCAGCAGCAAATTTTTCCTGCCAAGCTGTAATCTCTTGATAATAGAAACCCTGACGCATAACCTTAACTACAGCTTTGCAATGGCATTATCATCACATTGATAAACATGCCATCTGAGCTCTGTTAGTCAGAACATAATGGCTTTGTGTATCTTGTCATGATGTTTGTTTCTTGGGATAAAATATGGGACCTGCAAGTAACACATATGCAAACATTAACATGTTTGTTCCTTGTTCTTCCTTGGTTATTTATAGCTCCCTGTTTACACGTTGTAGCTGGATACTGCAGAATCTAATACATTTCATTGGGGAAGCTCAAATTATAAAATGGTACTGGGAGATCTTGTGCTGTGGCTGGTCAATAGCCATGGTAACCACTTTGTAAAATATAACTGTGCTGTCTGTCGGTATTGACTGACCTAGCAAGCCGTGGGTTTTCCCAATGCCACTTCACAATAATAATTATCTGTAGTTGGTTTTTTTTTGGTTACAGTTTGTCTTCAGTCTACAATATGAACAACAATGCTGGCAGAATTCTGTCATAAATAATGTTTTAAAGTTAAACATAAGGGGTAAAATTGAAAGGTTTATCTTAATTTTTGAAAGTACAGAACTAGGATCTTTAATCCATTGTGTCTAGAGGCACTTCCACTTTTTATCAAAACTTCTCTCCTGTGCATCCACAGGTTTAAGCCTCATTGTTCTACCAGCCCTGTATTGTAAGACTTTTAATTCAGCAGCTGTCATTTTCGGATGCCTTCTGTGAGCAGTGCAACATCTCCTGCACCATTAACATGCAGACATAAAATTTGTTGCATGTCATTTGTGCAGAGGAGAGAAAATTTAAACTGTTTTATGCAGTCTGCTTTATGAGACGCTGGAGAGCAACAGGTCACTTCTGATTGGGTGTGCAACTATTTAGTTCTTTTATATTTAAAAACATTTAGAGGTCTCTGTTGTGCTTGACTTGGAGAAAAGAAGTAGCTGTTCTTGCTGCAGGGTAAGGGGGAACTGAACACGATACCTGAATTAATGGAAGAGTAGAATAGGAAGGAAAATCTGAAAGATGAAAATGTTTTTTAAAGCTTGATCATTTTGTTAAGCTTTAGGATTTCTGTCTAAGCGTCAAACTAATTTCTGTCTGCTTTGTTGTTCCTTGTGTATTAAGAAGTAGCATTCTCTTGCCTTTCAGTAGAGGCACACGACTATTTTATAGTTGGATATCTTGTACTGCCTCAACGGCCTAGTGATAATTCTGTATGACACTGATAAAGGTGACAGCATAATTGGCCAAAACTTCAGAATGCCAGAAGGATTGACTTAATTCGTATTTGGAAATTTGGAACAGCATTTCAAGCTCCCTCTGTCACTCAGATAGCAGCTATATGCTAGTCTTACATTCCTGGTAGGGATTTCTGACATGAGTTCAAAGGAAAACAGTTTGTCATCCACTTTTTTTAATGCAGAGTTGGATCCCAACACAAAACAAATGTAAAATAGTTTGGTTAAAAGGAATCTTTAAAAAATAATTTAAATAGTGTCCTGAGAATTGTTACGCCATAGTAAGTCTTTGGCAAAATGAAGAATAGGGAATCGGGGCTTTTCGTTCTATGCAGCAGACCAGATTGCGCTCTCATATTTCCCTGTGTTTTTTCATCCATGGTTGGAGTGTTCCAGCTCTGGTTTCTTCTTATTCCCCTACAGGTTTTTATGTCGCTTTTTCCTGTTACGCTCTGTTAACTGCTGCTGCACAAGCATCGTACCTCTGATGCAGTCCACGAGGCAGTGATGTCAAAGCCAGGGGCTGAGCTGCGTCGTTTAGAATCTGCATTCCCTTTGGATTGCCTGGTTTTAAACCATTCTTGATTTAGCTGATTTTTCCTTCTTTGCGATAAGCTGCAGGCAGGCGTTACGTTGCTCTTTGGGGGCACGTTTGTTTGCCTGGTTGCTGCTGCCACCTTTTCCTGGCCAGAAGCACAAGGCAGGAGAGGTGTGCCTGTGGTGCCAGGGGAGCGATGGGCCTCCCCCCCTCAGTGTAGTGAAAATTCCTTGTCCTTCACGTGGTAGTAAGTGAGAAGTAGGCAAGGCATTAGTGACTAGTTACACACTGCGGGCAGTCTTGCTACCTCGCTCTATAGATATGTGGCTTCTGCCTGTGAACTGGGGGGCTGGTACCTTGCTGCAGCAAAATTTTCCATGTTCAAGCACCCCAGCACTGCTGTCACTGAATTCTTAAAACTCCCACCTGCTCTGCTTGCTGCTTTAATAGGAGCAGGTGGGTATGAGCAAATCATATACTGGAAGGGGCCTGTAATCTCAAAGCGTATACAACTGGTGGTTAATTCTTGTCTCTGTGCCCCCAGGCACGTTCTGGGCCAAGCCCAGCAGTCTTGCGGGTTTTGAGGGTCAGGGTTAGGTAAGGATAGATCCCTCTGGGAGCATATCTGCAAAATAATATGCACGAGGTCCCAAAGAGACTGCTCACTCATATTCAGAATTGCGGTGGGAGCTTATGTACAGAGCAGTGTTTTAGTGGTGAATTACCCTTTCTGGGATTCTTTATCCACAATATAGAAGCCTCTAATCACCTGCCCAACTCTTTCGAATAGGTGTTTGCACGAAGATGTGGGCCAAAATGCATTAAGCCAATTTGAGGTATGGTTTTCTTTTTAGGGAAGAATTAATTCTCATCTCCCTCCCCCCACAGTGTTCGGGCCCATATACTCAACATCCCTCTTTTTTTTTTTTTTTTTTTTTTTTTTTTTTTTTTTTTTTT